CTCCATCCTATAGAGATTTGGGGGACACATGCATATGTGTACCCAGCATGTTTTTCCACCTGCTGTAGGTGGTATTCAAACCAAGCATTTGGCCATGTGAGATCCAGCTCCCTTAACCACTAGGCCACAGGGCTGGCCTGATTATAGATATTTTCTAACATTTACAAAATAGAGAAGAAAATAGAAGAGAAATGAAAAAAGAAAACACACTCCTAAACAAAAGAAGTAGAGAAGAAATCAGAAAGAAAAATTAGGAAATATGTTCACAACAAAGGAAACAATCAGCAAATTGAAAAGGCAACAGCATGCATTGGTAGAAAATATTGACAAACTGTGTACCTGATAAAAGGTTAAAATCCAAGATACACAAGGAGAAAAGGAAAGCCTTGTACACTGAGTGGGAATGTAAAGTGGTAGAGCCACTATGGGCAATGGTATAGCAGTTTCTTAAAAAATTAAAAAATTAAACTACTATAATCTAGTAATCACACTTCTGGGTACATATACAAAGGAATTAAGATCAAGATCTTGAGGCAACATCTTTATTTTTATGTTTGCTACAACATTATTCAGAAAAGCCAACACACAGAAACAACCTAAAAGTACAACAGATAAAATGTGGTATATACATGCAATGGAAGTGTATTCAGTCTCTAGAAGGAAGGAAACCACGCCATTTGTGTGGTGGATATATATATAGAGGACATTATATTAAGTGAAATAAGCCAGACATGAAAGTACTAAATGTTCCTACTTACATCAGAAATCTAAAATAGGAAACTTGGAAAAGCATAATTTAGGGACAAACAGATGGCATAATGGTTATATCGCTGGACTCCCATGTAACAGACCATGGTTCAAGTCCCTGATCCAGAGGCTTAAAACTCATGCTGGGTGTTTGTGCATGTGTACCCAAAATCCCAAGAGGACAACGAAGGAGAAGGGATTGCAGCATGGCCCTTCCTTCTGGGGAGTGATTTCTCACTTTCTCTCTCTCTGTCGCTCTCCAGTGAGTACACACGCCCTATAGCAAAATTCTCTCTTTAAAAAAAAAAGAAAGAAAAAAGAAAAGCATAAATTAAAGTGGTGGTTAACTGGGAATAAGGGAAAGGGAAAGGGCCAGCAGATGGTGTGGTGGTTAAGGTGCTGGATTCCTAGATGGCCAACTGCAGTTCAAGACTCAGGCCTGGCAGCTTGAAAAATCCCAGTAAGTAACTAAGTAAATAAATAAATAAATAAATAAATGTTTAACCACTCACCCACCCACCCCCCCAAAAAAGGGAAAGGGGAATTGGAGCAGTTGAAGTCAGTTTCACTTATGTGATTTGATTAAGTCTTAGATATCTATTCTACAGCATATTGCATGAAGTTAATACTGTACTGCATATTGTATCTAAAAGCTTGTCATGAAGGGCTAGACAGTGGTGTGGTAGTAATGAAACAGGTCCCACACAGGGAAAGTCCCCAGGTCACATTTTGGGACTCCTTGAACACACTGGAGGGGCACATGCGTACCATGATCAGTCAGCTCAGGCTGGGTGGGGATCATGGCATGAGGACCATGTGGTAGGTGCCTATTTCTCTTTCTTTGTCTTTTTCTCATGGAAGAAATAAATGATTTTTTTTAAAATGTGTTAGGAGGTTAGCTCTTAAGTGAAATGTTCTTATTACAAAAAAGGGAAGGAGAGGAAGGAAATTTTTGGACATGACAATTACATTTTTAGCATGTCAAAAATTTTCTTCCTCTCCTTCCCTTTTTTGTAATATGATCATTTAATATAAGACAGGTATCATTTAGGGTTATATTGAATATTAGGCCCAAATTCAATGAATATTAAAATACAATTCATATTTTATGGTAGATCTGAGAAGACAAGTTCTACATTTAAAATGTTCAATGGACTATTTTGGCATATTTTATTTCTTAACTAACTATTAACAACAGTTCTACTCCATAAACATATTGGGTTTCTGGGAAAGTCATGAGGCATTTTTGCATAGAAAAACATATCATAACCTTCCAGACAATCTAATAGTTATGACACAGACACATCCACTTTTCCCTTACTCTATTAATTAATGAATTTGTTTGTTTTGGCTACAAGGCGCTCACTGAGCTCACAAGAGAGAGCGAAAGATAAAATAACCCCCCAGCGGGATGGTTACACCACAATTCCTTCTCTCCTATTTGCTTCTCAGGATATCGAGCATGTAGGCATATGCATACAGCCTATTTTTCTTTTTCCGCTATAGGGCACGTGTGCTCGCCAGACAGACAGACAGAGACATAGAGACAGAAAGCGAGAAATCACCCTCCAGGGGGGATGGTCACGCTGCAACCTCTTCTCCTCCATTCTCCTCTTGGGATCTTGGGCACGCACGCACACGTGCCCGGTGTGAGTTTTAAGCCACCGGGTCCGAGACACGAACTCCGGTCAACTATGTGGGAGTCCAGCGACATAGTCATTACGCTAACTGCTGGTTCCCATGCATACAGCCTATTTTTCAAGTCATTGGGTCTGGGATTTGAACCACTCAGTCAGCCATATAGAATCCAGCCATCTTAACCTGAATGGCCCTTCTTACTCATTTTTAAATGGATAACTGAAATGACAAAAAAAAAAAAACAGTATTTAATGGAATATGATAACATAATAGATCTTTCTGAACTATAAACTACCCACAGTAAATGGATGTGAATCCCAGATAGTGTGTGTGAAAGAATAGTCTGAGGAAGGACATTTAGAAGAAAAATAGAGAGGCAAAGCATTAATGGGAAAAAGAAATGTGGTATTATCTGTTGAAGATAATTTTATAGTTTTATCAACTGGACTAGGGAGAAATGTTCACATGTTGAAATATTCACTTTGTAAACTAAATAATGTGGCTGAATGTATAAAAGAAAATGAAAAACCCCATAAAATTATACAGTAATAAAATCTACAGACAGAATCACCGACATAAATTTATAAAAGTAAAAGGTACAAATTATGAAAGTCTGCTTGTTTTTATTCTTTGTATATCTTTTTACTGAATCTCTTTCAAAATGTGTTTTCCTAACTCTTGAATCCTTTCTCCCTATAGTATCCTAAGGATGTCATCACACTTGCTGAATAAATGCACAGTTCATGAGGAATTAAAATTTGTCACTTAGCAAGCTGTCCCTCAGGTTCCTCCAAGACTGACATTTCCAATGTAACAAACAAAGTTACTGTATTTGTTGAGTACCAACAGCTCCTCCCCCTACACTGACAATGTATACATGTATCAGAATAAAAGGAACAAAGAGTTGATACCAGAAGAGATTATACCTAAAAGAGAGGGAGGAGTCCAGAACAACCCCTTTTTGTTGGGTTGGGTCACTGGTTGTACGGTAGTGATACCATACGTAAAGAAAATGAGGTGAAGTGCTATTCATTTTGGATTTGTTGAGCTTGAGGTGTTTTAGGATGGCTACAAAGACACATTCGACAATTGGACCTATGGGCTACAAGCTAGGTAAGAGGGCCAAGCTAGAGAGAAACAACAGTGCAAACCATAAAGGGCTAAATTAGTCAAGAGAATTGCTGGTCTGAGAAAAATGGGACCCAAGACTGTACACATCCATGAGCTATGTTAAGGAACAGAGGAAAGCAGAGGACTTCAGAGAATCAGAGAAGTCATCAGAAAGGCCACCACAGGAACTAACAGAGAAGAATTTCCAGAAGATCACGAACGACAGTTCCTTTATTTGATTTTTTTTAAAGAGATTTCTGTTATAAGGCATGTGTGCTCACTAGAGAGATGGAAAGTGAGAAATCACCCCCAGGGGCATGGTCATGCTGCACTCCCTTCTCCTCCATTTTCCTCACAGGATCTTGGGCGTAAATACGCCTGGCATGAGTTTCAAACCACTAGGTCCAGGACTCAAACTGTGGTTGGCCACATGAGAAACCAGTGCCCCAATCACTATGCAGGCCCCACACAGATGATAGTTTTAAATATAGAAGAAGATTCAAGTATGACAAAGACTAGAGAATAGTCATGAATATAACTATAATTTAGATTATTCGTAAGATTTTGAAGAACTGAACTAGAACTACAATGAGTAGGTTAAAAGGCAAATGAACAATGGGGATATTTGCCAGAAAATATAATTTATTTTTTTAGAGGTTTTTGCTATAGGGCACGTGCGCTCGCCAGACAAGACAGAGACAGAGAGACAGAAAGCGAGAAATCACCCCCCAGGGAGGTGGCCATGCTGCAATCCCTTATCATCCATTCTCCTCTTGGGATCTTGGCATACACACACACACGCACCCAGCATGAGTTTTAAGCCACCAGGTCCAGGATGTGAACCGCGGTTGACTACGTGGGAGTCCAGCAACATAGCCATTACGCTAACTGCTGGCCCCAGAAAATGTAATTTTGAATAGTCTGCTATAGAATCTGCATGTATACATGAGCTGAGAAATATGTATGGAGTGTTATCTAAGAATCTGTGGTCCACTCAATCCACCAGATGTTCCAGGTTTTACCCATGAACCACGTACTAACCTCCAAAAGGCCAGGGATCACAATGTTTTGGTAACTCAAGGAAAAACTTATGTGAGTTTTGCTTCACCATTAGGTAACTATTTTAACTATGGAATGTTAAAGGGTTACTTCCAGGTTGGTAGTTAGAAGCTTTCTACTACATCATGTATGTTTCCAATGAAGATGATGCTTTAGACTTTGTGTCCAGTTTTTATGGTCAATGAGAATTTAGCATGTTCTATTATTAAGTTCTATTCCAATCAGGTAACAAATGTGTCTGCCCTTTTTTTTTTGATGGCATCAGTAAAGCCAGAGACCCAACTGACGTATCTCTAATCAGCCTATAACTTTATGCCAACCATTGTTTTATTTATGTACATTTCCCTGAAGATGAGCTCTACTTATTTCTACTTTTCCATTTTAATTTATGAACTCCAGAGTTCATAAAATATAAAATAAAACAAAGTGAAGAATAAACAACTCACCAGGGACTTAGTCATGTTTTGTTTCACCTGGAAACAGAAAGGACTCCAGAAGTACAGTGGAGAAAGAAGGTAAATGGAGTGGGCATAAGAGAACTGGTGTGGGTTGGTCCAAGATTCTTCTGCTCAAAACACTCTACTCATTTCCTAGAAAAAAATAACACTGTGGTAAAATAGTCACTCATCCAAGAAGAGCAACAAACACCCCTTTGAAGATGTATTCATAAGTACATTAATTGGTAGAGAATAAAGTACAATTTATTATGTGTTAATAAAAACATACATTACCACCCTTCTTAGCAACAATTTATGTTTACCTTAAAGAAATCATTTCAACCAAAGAAATAAACATTGTATCTTCAATAAAATTGTTAATGTTATAGAAACACACACAAGCTATGTGCGTTAGTTTCCTATTAACATGGAGATGCCACACAGGACTCCTACAAGTCTTCCCACTGCAATACCTCTTGCTTTCACAGACCTACATTTCATGGAAAATATGCATTTTTCACCAATTATATAATAAAAAATGTATGTAGGGACCAGCGGTTGGTGTAATGGCTATGTCGCTGTACTCCCATGTAGTCGACCACAGTTCAAGTCCCAGACCCGGTGGCTTAAACTCATGCCGGGTCGTGTGTATGTGCACTCAAGATTCTGAGAGGAAGGAACCAGCAGTTAGCATAATGGCTATGTCGCTGGACTCCCACGTAGTTGACCGCAATTTGCGTCCCAGACCCGGTGGCTTAAAACTCACACCGGGTGCATGTGCATGTGTGCCCGAGATCCTGAGAGGAGAATGGAGGAGAAGGGACTGCGGCGTTACCATCCCCCCTGGGGGTGATTTCTCGCTTTCTCTCTGTCTCTCTTTGTGGGGCGAGCACACGCACCCTATAGCGAAAACCTCTCCCCCCCCCCAAAAAAAAACAAAAACCCCGAGAGGAGAGGAATTGCGGCATGGCCATCCCCCCTAGGAAGTGATTTCTTGCTTTCTATCTCTCTGTCTCTGTCTTTCTGGCGAGCGCACATGCCCTATAGAAAAACCTCTCAAAAAAAAAAAAAAAGTACATGTACATTTCTCACAACACACTGTTTCAGAAATAGTTCCAAATGAACATATTCACATAGTCTCTTCTGTCAATAACCTGTGCTTTATCATTGATGCGCTTTGGCCAAAAGGACGTAGATATAGATAAATGTGATACAATCACAGGTTTGAAAAGTTCTTGCCTACTGGTACATGCTTTGGCCAAAAGGACATAGATATAGATAAATGTGACACAATTACAGGTTTGAAAAGTTCTTGCCTACTGGTACACGCCTTCTAGGACAGTGACACATTAATATGAAGAGGCATGGGGTTATTTGTTAGAGACAGAGAGCCTAGCCTGGAATCCACAAACCACTGGATTTAAATCAAATAGCTTCGGTCAAAGCACCAGGTGACTGGAGACTCATCCGTGATGCTGGGGAATGCCAGCATAGGAATTTTCCAGGTGAGCCCCAGCTCAATTGCTGGTCCATAGAAACACAAATCAAAATAAACAGTTCTTTTTTTTTTTTTTTTGAGAGATTTTCATTGTAGGGCGCGTGCGCTCGCCAGACAGACAGAGAGAGACATAGAGACAGAAAGCGAGAAATCACTCCCCAGGGGGGATGGTCACGCCGCAATCCCTTCTCCTCCATTCTCCTCTCGGGATCTTGGGCACGCACGCACACGCACCCGGCGTGAGTTTTAAGCCACCGGGTCCGGGACACGAACTGCGGTCGACTATGTGGGAGTCCAGCGACATAGCCATTACGCTAACTGCTGGTTCCCAAAATAAACAGTTCTTTTTAAGCCAACAAATGTTTGTTGATTCTTCACACAGCACAGACTTAATGATGCCTCTATGTCCTGAAACTCAATGTTTTTAACAGATTTGGGAATGAGAAAGACAGTTTTCAGTTACATGGCAAATTCAATAAATAGAACTTCATAACCACCTCTGAAGTTTTGAAAAGGACAATGTTAACTATAATAGACAGACTTCAGTGTGGTTGAAGCCATGTGAAGCAAACAAAGCAATAATCTGGAGATCACACTACATTTTAAGTTTTTACATCATACTTGTCTGTTATTTATATGAAGGAATTGTATTGTGCTTTACCTTTTATTGGTTTGAAACAGATATGTGAAACAGTCTAATCTTCCCATTTTTAATCATATAAAATTGGCTCCTTTTTTCTAGCAGAATTCGACTTTTAGAAACAGATTACTTAGATGAAGAGAGAAACACTATTAATCCACAGAAAGCTTTGGAGATAAAAAGGGACATTTAAGATAAGATACATTAAAGCAATGTTTGTTCGAAGTTGACTTCATCATCACAAAAATAATTTTAAAAATAAACACTCAGTTTGCACTAATATGACAACATTGGTAACATTAGCCAAAAAGTCAGGATTCTTGACATTTACATATCATGTGACCATAAGTATGTCACTAATCTCCTCAAATCTAATTTTTTCCCCATCTTTTGTATAACGTAGAAAGAACCTAAAAAATTCTTCCTAAGGACCAGGAAGAGCTAACAAGATAGAGGGAGAATCCAGCCTATCTCTGTATGCCAGATTTGGCAACAGATTAGGTTTGAGAGATTTCAGACTCTAAAAACAATTCCTGAAGCAAGAATGAAGAAAAGGGAGTGTGTTTAGAAAGCTCTGTGGAAAAATCCTCTTGTATGTGACACCCCAGAACACACCTTAAAGGCCTCTGAAATATTTAACATTTCCTAGGTCCCTCTCACCTATCCTCAAATTCATCTCTCCTTTCTGAAATCTGGCCTAAATCTTCAGTAGTACTCAGTCACAGATAGCTTCAGGACATAGAATCACCCAGATCTTATTTTTTTATTTTTTAGGAGAGGTTTTTGCTACAGGGCGTGTGCGCTCGCCAGAAAGACAGAGAGAGAGAGACAGAAAGCGAGAAATCACCCCCCCAGGGGGCATGGCCACGTTACAATCCCTTCTCCTCCGTTCTCCTCTCGGGATCTTGGGCACACATACACACGTGCCCGGCGTGAGTTTAAGCCACCAGGTACGGGACCCGAACCATGGTAGGCTACATGGGAGTCCAGCAACATAGCCATTAAGCCAAATGCTGGTCCCCCAGATCTTATCCATCTAGGCAGTAGGACCAGTAGTTGCCTGGGCCATACAAAGGTAGGACTTTAACTTTTTTTTGGAGAGGTTTTCGCTATAGGGCGCGTGCGCTCACCAGACAGACAGAGAGAGACAGAGACAGAAAGCGAGAAATCACCCTCCAGGGGGGATGGTCACGCCGCAATTCCTTCTCCATTCTCCTCTTGGGATCTTGGGCACGCACGCACACAGCGTGAGTTTTAAGCCACTCGGGCCCGGGATGCGAACCACGGCGACATAGCCATTAGGCTAACTGCTGGTCCCAGACTTGAACCTTTTCTAGGATACTTTTGCCTCGGAAGCACTAGGAGCGGGTCCAGGCCATAGGGTGTTCTGTCAGAGTCCTATTCCTAGGGCGCCCTCTTTCAAATTTCCTAACTTTCCAAAGAAAACGGAACAGTGTCCAAACTCTGTCAGAACTCGCTGTCCCTGGAAATTAGGTCTTACATAAACTTCCAGAAACTTAAACACGAGCGCTAGGCAGGTTACAAAGTGCAGGACCTAGAAACGGCCCTTCCTGAAGAGACATCACGAAAGCCCGTAAATACAACTGTTAGAGAGTGGCTCTGCACACAATTCCCATTTTTCCTCTGGGACCTGGGGCATCTCACTAGGACACTGCACAGAGAAATAGACTGAATGTCACGGGCGCGAGGAACCAGATCCTGCAGTGGCGGGGCTGGAAACCCAACCACCGCAGACCCAAGCACCTAGCCCACCCCAGGCTGCTGCTGTCCGCAGGCAGAGCCCTCTCCGACCCCGATTCCCTGTCCACCTCGGACGAGACGGAGCGTCGGCAGCTTGCGTCCATTTGGAAGCGCACATCCCGTCTCCTGACGAGACAGTCACTAAGAGACTTGGGCTATAAACGCACAGTCCCAGCTGCCCCGGTCCGCCCAGGCTTGCGGCTCGCGCTGCCACCCTGCCCCGCTCGCTGGAGAGCCACCGGCGTCCTTCTCCCACCGAGTGATGGGCAGTGGCCCACCCAGGATGCCCCGCCGTCTCCTCCTTCCCCCTAACACCCACCTCCGAGCTCACAAGTTCCAACCCCCGAGGCTGCTGAAGCAGAACCTGGAGACACACAGACTGCAGTTTCCGGGTTGAGATGGCGTTAAAGGGGCGGAGCTGCACGTGCGCAGAAGGAGCCAGGAAGAGCCGCTCTCGTTCTGAGCGGGCTGGGTGACAAGGACAGACTACATTTCCCACCAGACCCTGGGCTCCTCCGCTGGGAACAATGCAGTGAGGGGCGGTGTTTATTTTGCCAGCGAATCTCGTAACCACGAGGTCAGGACCTGCAGGATGAGTTATTGCTCTATTTAGGCCTTCCTTACATCGTCATTTGGCAACATGGAACGTTGTGGGAAGAATGGGGAAATTCGAATAGAGACCAGTCAGTGGTATTAATTTATTCATATTTTCGTTCTATTATTGCTGTTATAAAACCCATGACTATTCTTTTACACATGCACTGTAAAACATACAAATAATATTCTATTAATATGTTAAATTCGTTAACGAGCAAGAATTTAGTTAGGCAACTTTATTCCCAACCAATGAAAGATGTTTGTTCTCACGCCCTGAACTAATTTGTAAGCCTTTAGTGGATTGCACACAGTCGGAAAGACTTCTCTGCTGCAAATGTAATAAAATGGTACGGTCATAGGGAAGGTGAACTCCATAATCCTTGCACCAATTTCACTCCAACGTCTGATCATTATTTGCCCAGAAACTTGAAGATCCTTCTCTCCGTAACATGTCAAATCTTTTATTTATTTGTGTGGGGCGCACGCGTGTGTTGTATAAGGATAAACCTGAATTTTGCCTTTCCTTCCCTGGTTTCTGCCACAAACTAAGCAAGAAGTTCTGCATAGGAGCTTCTCACGTTCTGGCTACCAGACTGTGAGGGAGTCAAAGATTTATTCGCGGAAGCTTACTTAGCGGTCTTGGGTAACAACAAAACAAGTTACAACAGATTTCTGGAATTGCAAATGCATATCTAGATAACCTTTTATACCATAAGAAGAAAAGAGGGAGAAAAAGGAAAAAAAGATCACTGGCGGATGTATTACTATTTTTGGCATCAATACTTACCTTTATTTTCCTTCACTGCCTCCAACAACTCACTTCACAGTCATGCACCCACACTGCATTTGTAACTGCATTTGTCAAATTACTTGGCCTTTTGCAAACATTCTTTTCATTTCATTGTTTTTCCATCGTGCTTGACTTTTTTTTTATTGGGTTGTGCAATAATCTTTACTACTTGCTTCTTTCTGCCTACTTTATGTTTCATTTATTCATGTCTTCCCAATGCCTTTAGGTGGAGCATAAAATTACTGATTTGAGATTTTTTTTCTTATACTATTCATAGATGTAAACCTTCCTCTAACCAGTTTTCACTACTTTCTATAAGTTTTGATTGTCATGTCTATATTTTTATTTATCTCTGTGTATTTTCAAATTTCCCTTTGATTTCTTATTTGACCCAGTGATAATTTGAAAGTGTGATGTTTAATTTCCACATATTTGAGTTTAATTTTTTGTGTTCCTAATTTTCAAGTCTCCTCTCTTGTTATTGGAGAACATACTGTTTTGGTTTGTTTAATGGCTAGGCATAGAGTTTATTACAGAAAATGTTCATGTGCACTTGAAAAGAATGTATATTCTACTCTTTGGGAATAGAATGTTTTGAACATGTTTTTCAAGTCTGGCTGGATGATAAAGTTGTGTCTTCCATATCCTTATTGCTAGTATGCCTGGCTGTTCTACCAGTTATTGAAAGCAGGGTATTGGGGACCAGCAGGTGGCATGGGGGTTAAGGCACCAAACACTCTCACATGGCTAACCATGGTTCGAGTCCCAGACCTGGTGGCTTGCTTTCTCACTTTCTATTTCTCTCTCTGTATCTCTCTCTGATCAAGTGAAAATAAATGGATAAATAAATAAAGTAAATATTTTTTTTTAAAAAGAAAGAAAGTAACTCATGCTGAGCATGTGTGCATGCATGCCTCAAATCCCAAGAGGAGAATGGAGGTTAAAGGAATGAAACATGACTATCTCCCCTAGGTGGTGATTTCTCACTTTCTCTCTCTCTCTGGCAAGTGCACACACCCTATAGCAAAAATCTCTTAATATAAAAAAAAATCCATTTGATACTGACATCTTCATTGACAAGGAAAATACAAATGAACCCAACCTAACAGAGAAAAAGAGTTTCAGTCTTGTAGGATTATGGTGTCCTGGCAGAAAAACCCCACAGAATCTTGAGTCAGGGGGTGGTCATTCACCAGAATAGGAATTATAATTTTGTCAACAAGAGGCTTTGTCACCATAAACAGAGAAATATCAGAGGAAATGTAAGAATAGTCCAGACCCTATTGGTAATAAGTCTCAATTTCAGAATGATACTTAGGTGATACTGGCCTCATAAAATGAGTTTGAAAGATTCCCTCTAGTTATATTTTTGGAAAGAGTTTAAGGATTGGTATTAATTATTCTTTTCAATCTCTCTCTCTTTTTTAATGTCCAGAAAGTATACATTAGAGAGAGAGAGATAGAGAGAGAGAGAGAGGAAACTCTCATTGGGGCATGATCATGCCTCAATCCTTTTCCCTCTATTTCTCCAGCTCTTCAGGATTTGGGGGCATGTACACACACTCTGTATGCATTTCAAGCTGCAGAGGCCAGGATTTCAAATGCAATTGGCCATAGGGGATCCGATTCTCAATTCATAGGCCTTAACCACTGTGCTATGGAGTCAGCTAGAATTAATTCTTCTTTGCGTGTTTGGCAGAATTCAGCTTTGAAATTTGGCCTTGGGCTTTTCCTAGTTGGGATGTCTCTAATTACTACTTCAAACTCTGTAAACTGTGACCTTCTGAAACCCAATACCTACTCTTCAAGTTAGGGGCAATAATGTTAATCTTGTTGGTCTCTCATGTGTGTTTACATAAGCAACTCACAAATGTGCTTAGCACGTAGCACATGATAAAATTAGTCAGCCTAATAAAACTCCCACAAGAGATTTGTGGAAAAAAATGAAAAATATGGATGTAAAATAGTTGTAACTACACACAGTGTGGTCTCTAAATCACAGATAATATCAAGGGCTATGGGGTCAAAGATCCATGGGATCAATCCTGGCACTTTAATGAATTACAATGGAATAAAGTCTTACAAGGGCTTCTAAAGAAAACAATAACAACTAAGAACATATACAGGAATTTATCCAATTTGTAGACATAGACCTAAATATGAAATAATTGATAAATTCTCAAAATGGTTTTGACAAGGAAGAGGTGCTTTTAAAACATTGTCCTGGGAATGTAGTCCTAAAAAAAGAAAAATTTGTTAAGGCATTGTGAAGAAATAATCATGGCAGCTACTTATGAAAAGACATGGGGAAAGAACCAATCCAAAGAATAGATTCAGTGTAATTGCTAAGGTGGAGGCATGCCCCTTAGGACTGAATACAAGTATGTCCATGGCTAGAATAGTGAGAGTAATGCCCTACTAGAGTAAGTTAACAAAAGGGCTTTAATATTTATCAGAGTTTTGTTTCTATCTCTTGCACACTATGTTCTAATGAAATCAGTTTATACTCCATTTGGAAGCTTCTTCCTCTAGGGAAAGTAGATAGACACATTAAGATACAATTAGTGAGGCAGAGTTCCTTACATTTACTCCAATCCAGTTATATCTGAGAAAGCAGAGAAAGGTACAAAATATGAAGATGATCTTAAGGTAAAATGATTAAAAATATTTTACCCAACACTGTTTGAGAAAGCTAGCTCCCCAGTGCTTGTTCCTTTTGAGTTAGCAGTCCAAAAAAATCAGTATTTTTTTTATCAGACATGAAATGTACTCAATCCACATAGTTTTTTTTTTTTTTTTAAAGAATTATTTTGGGACCAGCAGTTAGCGTAATGGTTATGTCACTGGACTCCCATGTAGTCGACCGTGGTTTGCGTCCTGGATCCAGTGGCTTAAACTCACGCCAGGCACGTGTGCGTGCATGCCCAAGATCCCAGAGGAAAATGGAGGAGAAGGGATTGCGGCGTGGCACCCTGGGGGTGATTTCTTGCTTTCTGTCTCTCTGTCTTTCTCTGTCTGTCTGGTGAGCACACGCACCCTATAGCAAAAACCGCGCCAAAAAAAGAAAGAATTATTTTATTTAACTTTATTTATTTGTTTTAATTTGACCAGAGAGGGACAGAGGGAGAGAGAAAGAAGGCAAAAGTGAGAAAGCAAGCCACCAGGTCCAGGACTCAAACCACAGTTGGCCATGTATCAGTCTAGCACCCTTAAACACCACACCACTAACTGACCCCTCAATCCATATAGTTTTATTATATAACATGATTAATGCTGATTTCAAATAAAATAATGACTATATTAAATCTCTATGATCTTCCTTGTTTACATACAATTCCCAAAGGCTTCCCAGGGTATCCTTGTTCTTCTGCTGCAATTTCTAGTCACCTTTATTTTTCACAGGCCTTCTAACTGGAAAAAGCAAGCAAACAAGCAAGCAAAAAAAAAAAAAATCACTGTGATAGAAACTTAACCAGGTGACTGAGAAATCGCTGCTATGCCAAAATGCCTGCAAGAGAGATAGTAACTCTAGATTTTAGTGTGGATAAGGGGGAGGAAATCAGTTAAAGCTCTGGTGTTGATTGTTATCTCAGTTATCTATTTTCAGCAGCCAACATTCACAGAGATTCTGCTCCATAAGACAATGGTTATTCAGATAAGAAAACACTATCTTCATTCATTAGGCTCTGTCATTTAAGTCTGCACAGATCACTAGTGTATTCTACCATTGGTAGAGTCTGCTCACATCACTCATCACTATTATCCAAGCCATGAAATCATAAAAATCTTGAGTCTCAAATACGTGCTATATTTTGACAAATTCCACCACTGGCTTTTTCATATTTTGTAGATATCTGTTTATAGAACTTTCTTCAAAGATTTTTAGAAAAATGTTGAAAAATATCACAAAAATGGGCCATATAAAATCAAAATTGACATGATTATATGAAAATGATTTATAAACTCAACAAAGGATGACTTAAGAATGATCTCCACCGGGGACCAGCAGATGGCATAATGGTTATGTCACTGGACTCTCACATGACCAACCATGGTTCAAGTCCTGGACACAGTAGTTTACATGCACACACACCGTGTGTGTGTGTGTG